GGTACAAAGGTAACCCATAGGCCCATATCATTACCTGAAACGAAATTAGCTCAAACAAAGGAAATAGGTAGCAGGGGAGCGCTCAGCCCTGGCAAGTACGCAATCAATCAGGAATTCACTACTTTCTTCTCCCGCAACAAAATTAGCTCAAGTAAACAAAACTAGGCCCACATTGATGTAAGCACGCAATCACGACGTAATTCTTGCGACGTGAGATCGCATCCCTAATCCACTACCCTATTCTCTGTTCCCTGGTCCCGAACTTTAGATCAAAAGTCGCAGGCCGCCTGTAGCTCGAGTAGCCGGACGCAGCCACGCAGGACTCACATGCATGTCGCCCAGGCCATGGCAGTTGACAACACGGAGTGCGTCCGTTATCCAGTTTCTAGGTGCCGGGAGTATATTGCCGGGTGCCTCCTGCCTGACGTCAAATCGCGTCGTTGCTGAGCGCCTAATCACGGACGCTGATGCGATTGGTTTGAGGTATATCATTTGTACCCGCAAAAAAGAAGAGGTGTTTCACTCGTACTATTCCCCATTATTTATGTTGCTGATGAAGTAATTTACCTTCACATACATATAAGATGCATTTCTTCCACTGCTAAATGATTTGGCAATATTACACATCTATAAAAAATGTTGGATAAAATTGACAATGACCCTATGATAAGTGGATTTGTATCGAGAATTATGTTAATATACTAGATCTTATATATATTGTTGTCCTTTGCTTGCTTAGTCGTTCCGTAGCCTAGTTATTTGAATGTTTCTCATGATAAAGGGATGTCTAACATGTTTCTCCTACAGAAGGATGACTGATCTCTTGACACGAATCATGGCCTTACCACTAGGTCCCGGATGGCCAGCGGGATTTTAGAAGAAACTTCTACAATAATATGTAGAAAGTATGAAAATACTGTCAAAATTGGTTGCATTAAAGTGTTATTGGTTATATATATTAGGGGCCCCAATTTTTTGTCTTGCCCCGGGCCCCCAAATTCTCAGGACCGGCCCTGATTACCTCTTAGTAATTAACAAGCCATTGTCGTCATGTGCTAGTAATGTTTTTGCTTATCTATACCTTAATTATTATATATTATATTATATATATATATATAATATTAAAGGGAATAGGTATTCTTGATTTGGTTTAGTTCTTTTCGTTTGGCTTACACACGCTAAGCGATCCGGGCCAGGTACTTGTATGTTGATGGGCCTTTTATGGGCTTTCATCGAGACCACGAAAAATAATTGGGTCAAAATAAGACGTCATGGTAATTAATTAAAGTATTATACTTAAATGCCATTAAAAAGGATTATACCTAAATGGAATCAGTGGGAGATTATACCCGGCAAATAAAATATGAACATGCCTAAATTGCAACGTATTTTTATATGTTCATTTTGTAGAAGGATGTTGCATTCCGGCATGTTCTTTATAGTGAATCCGGTGTTGTCGGACATTATGCTTACACAAAACATTAATTTTTCCCGGTTCAACGCACGGACATATGTGCTAGTGACACTAAATGAGTTATGTAACGATGGTAACATATCGCCTTCTCCTTTTATTCTCGATATCACAATTTTATAGCAATGGTCAATGTTATCTCTTTTTCTGCTTATTCTTGTTATCGCAATTTACTTATATTAGGTTGGCTATATTTCATATTGGTGTTATAACAAAAAATACATATTTACCATCTTTAGCATGTCAAATTAATATCTACTTCAATTATTTGTTGCATGCAGAATCCTTATTTAACACTAACAGGCCCAACTCGAGCTGTTGTGCTATCTGATGTGTTGAATTCTGTGCGCTTTGAGGTTGTGCTGAAAGTGAAGAGCGGCATTTACGAATCCGAAGATAAAGATTTGAGCTTCTTAGCAGCAAAGTGTAAAACATCTGCATGGAATCATTCATGCGTGATTAACCTTGTTGCCACTAGCAAACTTTCCAAACTAGAATGGACATTCGTTCGCCTTGCTAAATCTGTGGAGGCTACAATCAATATACAAGTTATTCATGGGTCATGGCCAAATGGTTGCCGAGGTATATTCAGTGCAAGTACTAGAAGTCTAGATGGCATGAAAGTTTTGCTGCTCTCTCTTGAAGATGACAAGCTACCGGTTACTACTGATAGTATGCAATCTCACACGCCATGTTGCTTGCGTCGAAACTAAAGGAGGACAGAACATTTCTGTTGCAACCGAATATTCCGATGGGAAACAGTTTAAGACACACAATGAAATGGTTTTCGCACCTAGGATAGCTGGTAGAAGTTGTGGTATTCTTAAGGTTCACTCATGTGTGATGAAAGTCATTGTTGCATGGTCACTTGTTTGCTCATCTAGATAGACACGCAGCGTGCTATATATGAAACTTTGATAATATCGCATGAAGAATTTGTGATTTTGTATATATTCGATGTTACTATATGGTACAAGCCGGCTATTACTAACTCGAGCCGAAGCTTTGTATATAGCAGTCATATAGTCTTCGTAAAATCTTCTGCCTTATGCGGCCAAATGAGATCTCACCGGGTGTTTGGAGATCACCAATGATCATATCTTCAAATACTCCCTCTGTTTCTAAATATAGGGTGTAAAGTTTTGGGCACGGAAATTAAAGAACGCATGTGGAGGGGAAATTACACAAGTTTTGGGCGAGATTACACCTGACTACTTGACAAGAGAAAATAAAGGAGCTTGCCTAATATAAGGAAACGTGATCAAATCCCTAAAAACATTATCGAGACGAGTGGTGCAACACAATACACCTTATATTTCGGATCTTTTCTCAAAAATCTATACACCTTATATCAAGCAATAGATGGAGTATATTTATTAAGTTTGACCATCAATGAAAAAGCAAGATAACAACATCTACAACAGTAAGCCGATATAGACACATATGTTTCCGCGATGCATACACTCTATATATGTAGATGCATTCTAGTAAGAACTAATAGGAAAACATGAAGACATTGAGCGACGAGTCCGGCACTATCATGCACACGCGTTGACAAATATAACATTTGTTTGTTATACACAAAAGCACATCAAAAGTAGAGTGGATTAAACTAGGGCCGGACAAAATGGCCCAATTGCAGGTTGCAAAGACGAACTGTGTCTCCACGGCAGCCTAGTGCCCATCGCATTGTGCATGTCTCGGTGCTAGGATCGTAGACTCGGAGTTCAGAGCCTTGTCCGTAACACGAAGAGAAAAAGATCAACTTCCCGCCATCACTTGTCACCCTGAGTGGCATACAATACTTGGTGGACGGATCCACCGGAATCGTGTACGCCTTGACCCACTTCTGATTTTCTGATTCGGTCATGAGCCATACAGTCATGTGCACCCCCAGATGAACCAGACAAAAACAGCCATTGAGTTCGGTTATCCGAACTATCCCACTCATCTTCCACCTCAGGGGGACCATCGTGTTCATTGGGCCTTTCAGCGGTTTCGTCCATTGTTCACTCTCGAGGTCAAGGCGAAGTAATGCGTCGTCACTTGGACTATCCGAGCTCAAGAAGTACATGGTGCCATCGACGGCAACAGGGGAGCACCGTCCATCGGAGATACCGGCGGGAGGTGGCCGCACCCGCCTCCATCTGGCGCCGTGTCCTACCGTCAGGACCTCGTAGTCGCACGACCGACCCAACAAGAGGCGAACCACCTTGTACTTGCCTGATGGTACAACACGGCCAAAACCAAAGACGTGGTGTTGTTCCAATTTTGGTTTCGGGCAGTCCACGACCACCTCCCCTTTGGCGAGGTTGATCACATGCGCTCTACCGGAGAGATAGTCGGTGATGCAGACGTGGTCGTCGACGCTCGTGGAGAGCGACCCCATGCCTCCTATGCCTTTCATCACCCTGACAACATTGCCGTCCATGTCCATCAGCCGCAGGTCGTGGCCTCTCCCGGGGTTTTCCTGGGAGGATCTGACGACAAGGAGCGGCTCCGCGTGGCGAGATCTATGTGTGGCGATGAAGGCTGGGTCGGAGAGGACAGCACGCCACACCCTGCACACACACCGAAACCGACACACGGAATTCAAGGGCGCCCAGGAGAGGATGTTGAAGATGAGCTCGTCTGGCAACGATACCGTGGCGTCCGGACAACAGCGGCGTTTGGGCAACAGCTCTGGCGCCATGGCACGTGGTGGCTTGTGCAGAACGATCGCTGGGTTTTGATCGAGGAGAAGGACTTGACCCGTACGTCGAGAATATTAGTTGAGGGCTCGGCGTAAGATTGGATCGGTAGATAACCGACGGGGCAAAGGTGTTCGTTAATGTATATAGAATTCCTCTTTGATGTGTACACGTATTGGATTGGAACTCGTATTTTACTTTCCAAAAAGAGATGGTAAGCAAAAAGAATTAGCTGCTTGTAGTACTTTTTCGCGAGATACTTGTAGTTGTACTTGTAGACAGAATTCATGAAACATGCAATATGTGAGCACTTTTTATCGCGGGGGAGAAGATGAGACTGCTTTGTGGAATTCATCCGGCAATATCGGACGAAAATATTACTCCATGCGTCACTACTCGATACAGGCAAATCGTGATACGCCGAGTATTAAAAATACTCAGTGGAGGCAACCTTTGGACTTGGTGAGCCGTATGCCGAGTGTTGCACTCGGCTTCCCCTTCTCGGCTTACACCATGTCGGCAAAGGGCTGTAAGCCGAGAGCTTTTTCATGGGCACTCGGCTTCCACTTTGCCAGTTTTTGTTTAGAGACGGGTCTATTGTGTTTCTTGATCCGCTGAAATAGGCCCGCGTGCGGGTGGTATGAGGAAGAAGTCAAAGCCTATCAGGCCCAAGCGAAGCTTTGCAGGGAGAGTAGTCAAAGATCGGATAGATTTGAACCGCAATTGCTAAGGCTATGCCAGCTCAAATCCTATAACGAGCAATCATCAACGGCTTCCCTAAATGCCGCCGAGTGCCAAGTGAAGGTTCTCAGCAAAATAAAGCACTGACGGCCATCAACTGGAGACGGCGGTGCCATGTGACATGTGTGTGAGCTGTGTGGCATGTTCGGCATTATCCGTAGCTAGGCGCCAACCAAAGGTCAGTACAGGGCATAGCTATAAGCCGAGCGTTTTTCCAGCTCCGTCGGCACCGCCCTGTCATAGATCTAAGCCGAGTACCGCCCTATTGGTACACGGCGTAGCTATAAGCCGAACGCTTTCCAGCTCTGCATGACATATATCTGCAGAGTACATGTGTACGCTGATACCATATACGACGTCTCACGGAAGGAATAAACTATCTTTTGCCAACATGGAACATTTAAGAAAAGACACTATTTTTGTCGAGTAATCAAAACAAGATATAGGCCATAAACCTCAGATGGGGGACCGCATTGGGCTCCCAACAAAGCCTAGATGAGTTCCATCAAATTTATAATAGTATCATCAAATTTCAGAGAATCAACCCTACGCCTCACTTGCAAAACTTGATGAAACACAGGTGATTTATTTAAAACTTTATAATCCAAAACAAAAAAAAATTAAAACATGACGAAACTTATTTTTGTATCAAAAACATAGTTTTGGAGCAAAATCCAAAGTTGCAACCAAGTGGAGTGCTGGTTGATTTTAATAAAATGGAAAGTTCCCATCTATATTTCAACACTTTTCCTACATGAGAACAGTTTGATCCTGGTCATCTCTTCTCCATTGAACGGTTGGAGAGACATGTGTGCAGCGATGCAGTTGATACGTCCTCTCAAAATCAGCTAGGATTCGGGTCATGGCCACAGAGATGTTACCTTATCTTCAAGATCTGAAAGGGATGCAGAATTTCCTTGGGAAGACAAGTTTTTATAGACGGTTAATCAAAGATTTCTCCAAAATTTAAAACTGTTAACTATACACTATGTGTGCTGATCCCTTGAGCCTCCATGCGGGCCTGGCCTATGTTATGCGGGAGCCATTGACTACAAATATACGAGAGGAGGCTATGAACAAGGCATCCCCTCAAAATCAAAATCTGTTTGATCGAGGAGGATGTAAGTGCATCTAATGCCCCTTAGTGATTTTGGTGTATTGAAGACTTATAGGTTAAGGGACTGATGCGTTTGTGAGTGTACACAGGTCTATATGTCTATGAGGAGTTTGATATTTACACAGAAAGTCGACCCCTAAAAATGAAGTTCTTCGACTGAAGACTTTGATATTCTGAAGACTTTCTGAAGACTTTGAAAGTGAAGAAATTGGTGTGACCTTGAAGAACTTGATATTCACATAAGGAACATGAAGCGTGAAGATTTTTGTTTTCGTAGTTTCATTTTCTCTTTCTTGAGTCATAGGAAACACCGTACTGTTAAAGGAGGTCGAGGAAATACTAAGGAAAAATTTCCACGTGATGCTCAACTCAAAATCCTACACCTACCAATCCCTTCGAGTGAAGCCATTGAAAATCTCATACAGTTCAGTCAATTTCTTCAGTGACAGAGACACAGTTCTTCTGGTCACTGAGGACTTTGCTCTGACTGAGGAGTTAGGAATTCGCCAGTGCGAATTGCCTACACAGTGAGGAACATGATAGCCCTGAGGAATTTCAGAGTCAAATTTCCGACCGTTGCTGTGCTGCGCGCCGGCTGTCCCAAAATATCTTATCCACCTAACGATCATATCATTGAAGGGCATTTATGTCTTATCATGTAGGGCTGCTCCCTAGGCTATAAATAGCTGCCCCCTACAACCACTAGCTGGTTGGCTGCTCCGAGAGAACTTGACACTTGTCATTTGAGAGCAACCCATCCTCCGAGGACTTTGAGCGAAAATCATCAAGTGAGGAAAATCCCAAAACGAAACCCCCACAAACCCAAAGTGATTGAGCATCACTGAAGAAATTGATCCTGCGTGGATCCGACGCTTGTTACCTTTGAAGACTGTGCTTCTTCCAGATGTTTAGGCGTCAAGGTCTAGAGCATCCAAGAGGAATTGTGGATCGCCGAGTGACCAAGTCTGTGAAGGTTTGGAAGTCACCTGAAGACTTACCACGAGTGATTGGACGAGGCCTGCGTGGTCTTAGTTCAAGGAGAATACGGTGAGGACTGGGTGTCCTGAGTTGCGGCTCAGTGACTGGGTGTCCGGGACTGCGTGTCCTCGAGTTTAAATACTCAGCCGCTCCAACCAGACGTACAACTGAGACAGCAGTTGGAACTGGTCTACCAAATCATTGTCTTCACCAACTAACTGGTTCTATTTCCTCAACCCTTCCACTTCCTCATTACTATGTTGAATGTTGTTCATATCTGTGCTTGAAGACTTCGACTGAAGACTTTCTCAATTTCCTCAGTTCAATTTCTTCAGTCTGTTTGTCTTCATCTTGTGTTATCCTGTGATTATGCTTTCTGTACTCTGTGCTTGTCTTCATTTCATCATGATGACCATGCTTGTATTCTGTTATGTTTACTTCTGAGTACTTATTCCGCTGCAAGTAGTTCTTCGCTAAGGAATTTCCTCACCAGCAAATTCCTCAGTGAAGAATTCATAAAAATCGCCTATTCACCCCCCTCTAGTCGATATAACGCACTTTCAATTGGTATCAGAGCAAGGTACTCCCTTGTTCTGTGTGATTTTGGCTTAACCGCCTGGAGTTTTAGTTATGTCGACCGCAGGTATGATCAAGGTCTCGGCTGGGTGTCCTACCTTTGATGGGACGGACTACCCCTACTGGAAGAACAAGATGTGAATGCATCTTGAGGCAATTGACAACGATCTCTGGTATGTTGTGGAAAATGGTGTCCCCTCTGTCACACCCTCACTGAACGCTACCGATGTGAAGAGATTCAAGCAACTCGATTCTCAAGCGAAGAATATCATATGTGGCCATCTGAGTAAAGGACAATATGGAAGAGTGAGTGCTTTGGAAACTGCTAAGCTTATCCGGGATAGGTTGTCCAAAGTAAATGAAGGAGTCTCAACTCAGCGTGACTCTCGAGTTGATGTTCTTCGGAATCTCTTCAACCGTTTCAAAAGACTCGACAATGAAAATGTCCAACAAACCTTTGATCGCCTCACTGACATCTCAAATGAGCTTCAAGCCCTCGGTGCCACTGACATCACTGATCATGAGGTGGTGAAGAAACTATTGAGATCGCTTGATTCCTCATTTGATACTCTGGGACTGATGATACAAGAACGTGCTGACTACAAGTCTCTTGATCCTGCCGATATCCTCGAAAGGCTAAATACTCACGAGTTCCAGCTTGCTGAAAAGAGAGATCTCTATGGTTCAAACTATGGCAAACCACGTGCCCTGAAGGCCAAGGCTGTGTCTGACTCTGAATGTGAGGATTCTGGTAGTAGCCTTGGTGATCCTGAAGAATTGAGCCAGGAGCTAGCTCTGCTCGTGAAGAAATTCCAAAAGTTCTCAAGACGTGGTCGCTTTGGAAAATCCTCAAGAAGCAGTAATTCCTCATCCAGTGACTATAAGAGAAGGTTGTGCAACAAATGCAAGAAACCTGGTCACTATATCCAAGATTGTCCTCAGTGGGAAAAGGAAATGAAGAAGAAGAAATACAAGGATTACAGTTCTGATGATGCAAAGTAGATGAAGAAATCGTCAAAATCTTCGTCATCAAAATCCTCGAAGTCTTCATCTCACAAGAAGAGCAGCTCCAAGAAGGCTCGGGCATTCATTGGCAAGGAAATGGACTCTGAAGCTGAATCTGAGGAAAATGAGGAAGAGGAGGTGTCTGAAGAATCCGAATCTGGTGTGGCGAGTCTGGCCTTCGCTACTACTTTCGTCAGCAAGTCCATCTTCAACACTGAAGAAACTGACCCCACCGACAAGCCTGATGAAGATAATGATGGCTACGCTCCCACCTATTGCTTCATGGCGAAAGGTGCAAAGGTACTCAAATACAACTCCTCTGAATCTAGTGAAAATGAATCTGATGAGGATCTCAAGCCCAGCTACTCTAAACTTACTAAAATTGCTGTAAAACAACAACGGGCTTTTGAAAAGGTTCAAAACATGCTAGACAAAAGTGATGATATGTTGGGTGAAGAAATGGATTGCACTAAAGCCCTGACTGAAAATCTTCAGAGACTTCAGTCTAGGTTTGATAACCTTCAAAGTCATCATAACACTCTCTTATCTGATCATGAGAAACCTTCTTATGAATTTCTTCAAGAA